TAAAAAAAAAAAAAAAAGAGTTAGGGAGTGACAATGTGCGGCCATATCTTTGGGTACAGGCTGAGACATAAGCATTATTGATCGACATGTCCTCTTTAGCACTAGTAATAGAACATTGTGCATTAAAATTTCAATGATCCTTAACTTTAAAATTATAAATAATTCCTGATTCGGGCCTTCATCTCGAACATTTTCTTCAGTAGTGGATGTATTTTGAATAGTCATTATTTACAGTGTAGAACAATGTGATAATAGTCACTTTCTGTGTGTGTGTGTATGCATGCGTGTGCGTGCGTGCGCACATGCACCATGCATGCGTGCACCATCCTTGAACTCAGGGCTTGGGTGCTGTCCCTGAGCTTTTGTGTTCAAGGCTACTGCTCTCCTACTTTGAGCCTCGGCACCATTTCCAGCTTTTTAGTAGTTAATTGGAGATCAGAATCTCACTGAGTTTCCTGCTGGGCTGGCTTTGAATGGTGACCCTTAGATCTCAGCCTCCTGAGTAGCTAGGATTACAGATGTGAGCCACCCATGTTGGTCAGACAGTCTGGCAGTACCAAGCCTTTAAAAGTTAATGATAACAAACTAGAAGAGTTTGGCTCTTATTTACTATGCAGTGATAACTCTTCAAACTCACAACTAACTTGGAAAAGAAAACAAGTGTAGCTGTCATGGCAGTGTCTTAGAGGGGCTAAGTGTTGCAAAAGAAGAATTCAGAGGGACCCCGCCCTGTGTGTGAGAACCTAGACTTTGCTCTTGCAAGGAAGGCCGTAGATAAAGGAGCAGTGGTCCTCTACCTCAGAGCATGGTGCCCGGGACACTGCTAGCCCAAACCTCTTGTAAAAGCCCCTCAAGGTCAGAATTACCTAATGCTGAGATGCCTTTTCCCTTTGTCACTGACATTGCCAAATCCCTAGTGCGTGTGGTGCCTTTCTCTGCATGAATCAACACCGAAGAAACCAAACTGTACTGAAGGGACTGCATCCCTCGTGGGTGCACACGATTTATTTTCGAAAATTGAAGCCTGTGTCACTTAATGTCCCTGCTGAAACAGGACCTGTTATTATTTGAGTAACTCTCAAGCCTTGACCAAATGTATTTATTATGTGAGATGGGAAAGGAACACAGAGAACTTGTGCTATGTGTGTCCCAAAGTACACTGGCCTTTCCTTCGAGAAAACCCCTGGGATGTTTAAATTGAAAGTTAAATTAGCTGTTTTATCATATCATTTTGGGGCTTTTTTCCTTGAATAAAACAACTGATGGTTCAGACTTAGGGACATGGTATGTTATGATAGGAACAGATAATAACAAACATTTGTTAACAGTGATAAAATTCTGATTTTCAAGTGATAGTTAAGGCTTTGAAGAATCAAGAGCCTGACAGCTTCCCAGTACTTAAAACTTTTTGTTCCCAGATAATAGCAATGGTGATATAATTAATATTTTAAAGTGTTTTTTTTTTTAATGAAATGTGTTATTTGGAAGATCACCAATTCAAATGATCCATTGTTTTCCAGATTATCAATGCATGGTTTTACAACTCATGCATAAGGTAAAGATGTGTTCAAAGTGCCAGACAGAGGCTGGGCTGTAGCTCAGAAATAGAATGCTTGCTTAGTTTGGGAAAGGCCCTGGGCTGCTGCTGCTGTATCACATAAAGAAAAGGAAAGAAGGCTGGGAAGGTGACTTAGTGGTAGAGTGCTTGCTTAGCATACATGAAACCCTGGTTCGATTCCTCAGTACCACATACACAGAAAAAGCTGGAAGTGGTGCTGTGACTCGAGTAGTAGTGTTGTGCCAAAGCAGCTCAGAGACAGTGCCCAGGACTGGCAAAAAAAAAAAGAAAAAAGAAAGAAAGGAAAAGAAACACTAATGGATTTTTAATAAAGAGTTTAATTCAATATTTGAAATTAGTTTTAAGAACTAAGAATTTTATAATTTTAATGAGATAGTTTCCAGATTCCACATTGCAACTATTCTAGTCAAGTTGGTATAGCTTCAAAAATAAATATCCTTCTGGACACTGTGGCTCAAGCACTTATAAACTTAGCTTCCTAGAAAGTGAAGATAAGGATAGCAGTTCAAGGCTAGCTGTGCAAAAAAAAAAAGTGTGATTTTAGCTCAGCCAATGAAGAGCTGGGAACAGTGGTTCACACTTGTCATCCCAGCTACATAGGAAGAACAAATAGGAGGATCACAGTCCAGGCTTGCCTAGGAGGAAAAATGAAAGCAAAAATGGTTGGAGACCAAAGTGATTAAATACTTTGGTTAAGAAGCCCAAGGCGGGCTAGGAAGGTGGCTCAGTGGTAGAGCGCTTGCCTTGCATGCCTGAGGCCCTGGGTTCGATTCCTCGGCACCACACAAGCAAAAAGAAAAAAGCCGTAAGTGGTGCTGTGGCTCAAGTGGTAGAGCGCTAGCTAGCCTTGAGCTGAAGAGCTGAGGGACAGTGCCCAGGCCCAGAGTTCAGGCCCCATGACCGGACCCCCCCCAAAAAAAGAAGCCCAAGGCTCTGAATAGTCTTGAACCCCAGTACTGCCAAAAGAAAAATAAAAGAATATTCTCCATGACATGAAAAAACTATTAAGCTGATGCTAGTGGCTTACTCCTGTAATCCTAGTTACTCCGGAGGATGAGATGGCAGAATCGCAGTTCAAAGCCTGCTAGACAGGAAACTCTGTGAGACTCATCGCCAATAAACCACCAGAAATACAGAAGTGGAGCTGTGGCTCAAGTGGTAGTGCGCTAGCCATGAGCAAAAGAGCTCAGGAACAGCACCCAGACCCTGAGTTCAAGCCCCACAACTGACCAAAAATACGTAAATAAGAAAAAGCTGTTAAGACACTCCTTGCCATGGTCTCCCTGATAAGTGGATGTTAAATCCAAAAGGTTAGGTGATACAACAAAATTAACAGGACTTAAGAAACAAAGGACTTCCACTCATCTGGTTGAATCACTACTAAATAACCCCATGCTGCTGATCTCATGTATGGTATATATGTGCACAGCAGAGGGAAACCAGGACAATACAGAACTAGAGGGAATCAGGGAAAAACATACAACAGCAGGACCCATCAGCTGCACTGGACATTGATCAAAATGAACTAAGCAACTCAATGGCAGCGATGGGAGGGAGGGAACAAGTGGGAAAGAGGGAACAGCTGACACTATGCAAAACAAAAGAAATGTACATATCACCCAATGTGGAAGAAATAACTGTATTGCAAAGCTCATAGAACTCATAAATGTTATAGACCATGATAGACAATTTGTCGTATGAAAGTTAGAATGTGCTTGTGGCTTTAACTAAGCTTCACTATCTCACAATACTGTGAAATTTGGGAAATTATGTAACCACTTAATCACAATCAAACATTTGGAAAAAAAAAGACACTCCTTGCATCTCTAACTATATATTTTGTTGAGGCAATGTTTACCTTGTGTAGTTCAGCCTGAACAACATGTCACAAGAACTTGCAGGTAGCAGCAGATCTAAGAGTCTGGCCAGCTGCTGCCTTCTTTTAAGCCAATATTAACGAAAACTGTTCTCAAAGTGTAAAAGTTATTCTAATTTCTGTGTTTGGGAAAATGTATTTATTTTTAATGAATTAATATATATTTTAATTTCTTGGGTTTAATTTCTAACATGGTACTTATTTATGGGCATTATTGTTATAGATACTTTGGGGTTCTCCTTATAATATTTTAGAGCACTAAGGAAAGAGAAGCATCGCGTTCATCTTGAGTGGCCATTGTGTAAGGCAGACTTCAGTATCAGTTAAGGAAAATCCATGAAACAGGATCTGGGAGACAAAGCAGCAAATACACATTCCCCCACCGCTTTGATTAGGATTGAGTAACAAAGATGAATATAGACAGCATCCGAAGGTGGCAGAAGGGAGAAAGAGTTTCCTTTTGGCACTTGTTAGGACTTATTCTTTGCCAAAAAGAAAAAGAAAACAGGTCTTCTCATACTAGCAACATGTTCAACCTCAATTTCTGGGTCACAAAAGGCAGGGAGAATGGGGAGAATGGAGATTGCAGACCAAGAAGGACATGGGCCACTTTTTCTCTAAGGGCCATTTAAATGTGCCCTATCGGTTGAACATCTGTTATGCACTTACAGATAGGAGTTTTATGTTAGTCAGCTCTGTGGCACAGTAACAACTAGCTGCAGTATCAACTTGCAAAGTAGAAAGGTTTCAGTCCCTGGTCTGTTGGCTCATTGCTTTGGGGCCTGCTACAAGACACTAGTTATGATGAGAGGCAAATGACAGGCAAGTAAAGAGCCAGGGGAAATGGCTCTGGTCCCCCCTTCAATCCTCTTCAAGAGCATGACCTTTGTGACCTACCTTCCTTCCACTAGGCCCCACCTCTTAAAGGTTCCTCCGCCTGTCAGTAATCCCACAAGCTGGCATGGAACCTTTTTCCCATGGCCCTTTAGGGTATACTTATTCAAACTATTACAGGTTTCCAGGGCAACCCTGATTTCTCAGGATGTTTCCCTCATAATAACATTAGAGCAGTATAAGAAGTATAAAAAATATCAAAAGCACACAGACAAAAAGATCTCTTAGAGGACAAAGACCATGTGACAGTATTTTTTCTTCCTGGTAATGTAAGCAAGATGTCTTCTAGAGTCCAGTAAACCATGCACATCAGGGGATACTGAAATGACAGTTCAGAGCAGCTGAAAGTGTGATCAACAGCAAAAACAGTTCCCAAGGTGGGGCCATTCCTGCGAATGTCTTTGTATTGTCTGTGAGGGAAGTGGGGGTTGAGGAAGGGACTTTTGGAGGGGCTCTCGTGCCCTGTGGGATGTGGTACGGGGAGGATGGGGACTGGGTGGGGACTCCCTAGGGGAACCCACCCTCCTCCTGTGGATGCAGGGCTGGGCTTGGACTGCAAGAACAGTGTTTTGGTTTCAGATCCTGGTACGTGTAGTATGTGGTGCCTGCAGATGCATTATTCATACTCACCAGCAGTCTCTCCTTTCCCAGAAACATGATTCCGGTGACAGAATTCCGGCAGTTCTCGGAGCAGCAGCCTGCCTTTCGGGTGCTGAAGCCGTGGTGGGACGTGTTTACCGATTACCTGTCGGTGGCCATGCTGATGATTGGCGTGTTTGGATGTACTCTACAGGTGGGTGCCTGCCCGGGGTGGAGGCGGGGCTGGGGCAAGATGCCAGGGCAGTGAGACCTCTTCAGAGAGCCAGCTCTGTGGGGACAGCATGTGGCTCAGTCGCTGAGCCCTTGTTTAGACTGAGGCCCTGGGTTCCATCTCTATCACCACAAAAAAGGGCCAAAGACAAGCTGAGCACCGGTGGCTCACGCCTGTCATCCTAGCTACTCAGGAGGCTGAGATCTGAGGATCACGATTCAAAGACAGTTTGGGCAGGAAAGTCCGTGAGACTCATCTCCAGTAAACCACCAGAAAGCGAGAAGTGGTGCTGTGGCTCAAGTGAAGAGCTGAGGGGCAGTGCCCAGGCCCAGAGTTCAAGTCCCACGACCGGCCAAAAAAAAGGCCAAAGACAGTTCGCTGTTTGATTGGGTGTTTTTTGGGTTTTTTTTTTTTTGAAGTGTGAAATTACTCTTCTCTGTTTGTAAATGACATTTGTCATCCTGGTCAGGAGTCCAATATTTCTAATAAGGTAAATGGGGAACTTATAATACTCCATCCACTCAAGTAAGGATTAATGTTGCTAACACCAGAGCATTCCGTATATTTCACAGTTTGCTTCACAGTGAGGTATAGCATGGACACTCACAATGCCATGCCAACTGGGAAATATAGGGTGTATGCTATATATTATATATTTACATAGGGCATGTGTACTGTATAGCATCTTTGCTATATTATTTATGTAATATACAGGATATAATATATAATGTTCTATATAATATGGTAACATATTATATATTTATGTATTTTATAATTTATATATAATTATATATTTCTATATGTAATGTATTTATATTAATACTATAAAATATTCTATAATATGTAGCATATATCATAATATAGTATGATATATGCTATCTATTATAGTACATATATATGTATTATAAGGTTTTTGGATGAACTGATATTTTGGTGAGGTATCATTATTTTACCTCATATTTAGTTCTGAATTAAAATGGAATCCAATCAAAATATATTCTGCATAAATGCTGTGTATCTGCCCATTAAGTCCTGAAGTATTTTACATAGCTGCTATGTGCTGGCCACCAAGCTTAGGGGACTTAGTGCCCTTACAACCAGAAGAAGCTGTGTAGCAAGTGTCCACAGACATTCCACTCTGCTGGGGAATAATACAAAAGGTAATGAATGGTTACATTAAAACTTAGAGAAGCAGCTGGAAATAGGGAGGAAGAAGAACTGGGATCTTTGAACCTTTGAACCTTTGAGGGACTGGCATAGGTTTCATACTATTTGTGTGTGCTCTTCCTGGAAGTAGATTCTGCCACTGGGAAGGTCATGAGAGAAATGATGTCAGCTGTGTCAACTACACAGCAGGGAAGAATGAAGAGAAGGGAAACCACGGGGGAAGCAGAGAGGCCTCTCGGGAGGCTGGAAAAGGGGTAGCTGTAAGAAAGACACCTAAGAGCTGAAGGAAAGTGTGGTAGAGACGGGCAGGCAGTTTTCAGCCAAGTCACAGAAAAATAGAAAGAAGACCCCTTAGAAAAGTTTAGTTTCAGCTAGCAGTAGGGGGGGCCTGGAGAGGGAAGGGGGGGTGCAGGGGTGGGGACATGGGAAAGGATGGGAAGGGGAAACAAAGGAGGAGGCAACAATGCTTGATAAGAAATGTACTCATTATCTTGCCCACGTAATTGTAACCCCTCTGTATGGTATTTTCACAATTTAAAAAAAAAAGTTTAGTTTTAGTGGTGGGAAAACTGGATAAAAGTTTAAATAGAGACAGTATAGTGACTATGACCTTTAAGAAGGTCACCCAGAAGAGCAAAGAACAGACCAATACATTTGACAGTGTGGAAATCACAGCGCTACATGGCCACCTTCGCTGCTTCTATGTGTTTGGCATGTTCATGGACACTTTGTGCATATTGTAAGTCATTTCTTCTCATGACAAGTCTAAGATTATTTTCCCAAGGCACAGAAGTTAACGGCCCAAGGTGGATAACAAAGCCTTATTCAAACCCAGGCAGTTTGGATCCAGGATGCATTTCTGTGGTCACCGAAAACATTTTCCCCTCCCCACCCAAGAAAAGAAAGGCCCCAGTGAGAAGCTAGAGTCTGAAAGAGAGAAACAGCATTCATTTATTCATAAATAAGTTTATTCATAGATAGTTGAAGAATCTTACTGTGTGTCAGGTTTTGTTCTACTAAGAACTGTTGATAAAGGAGGGGGAAAAAATCAAAGATAAATCCCCATACTCTTGAAATTCTGTGGAGGAAGAAGTGAGTAGATAAGTAAGATTAATAAGCCATATACAATGATTTCCTGGGGATCTATCTAAAAATTCTCCAGGGAATGCTTGAAACTGTATTATTCAACCTCGTGTTTTTCTGTTGTTGGTTCTTACCACGGATCTTAGAAATCTGCATAAATGAGCTGGGCTTTGGTGGCTCACACTGAAATCCTAGTTCCTCCAGAGGTTGAGATCTAAGGATCTTGGTTCAAAGCCAATCCAAACAGGAAAGTCCATGAGACTCTTATCTCCAATTAACTACCCAAAAAGCCAGACGTAGAGCTGTAAGCTTAAATGGTAGCGTGCTACCCTTAAGTAAAATAGCTCAATGATGTTGCCCAGGCTCTGAGTTCAAGCTCCAATACAAGAAGGGAAGAAAGAAAAGAAAAAAGAGAGAAAGAGAGAAAGAAGAAAGAAAAAAGACAAAGAGAGAAAGAGAAAGAAATCTGAATGTGGATTTTAATTGAAAATCTTTTCATTTATCTTTTCACTTTAAGGAAGCACTTTACGTCTTTGGCATATCTGATTTGCCAACATCAAATACTTTTGTGCTGTGTGGCCTTTTTAAACGACAAGTATCACTTGAACACAACTGAGAGACCTGGACAATCAGTCTGAACCCAAGATGGTTGCTAAGCAACTAATCTCATGGGACCCAGAAGGACATGCAATTTTAACTTTATGAATTGTTTGCCTCTGAAATTTTCCATTTAATATTTTTGGACCACCATTGACCCTGGGGTAACTGAAACCAGAGACGAGAAACCATGAACAGAAAGTGATTGCTTGGAACTACATGTTGCACGGTGAAAAGGACAATGGAAAAACAAAAAGGGAAATAAAGCATACTTAAAGGGAGTAGGTGGTCCCAGCTGGTCAGATATGACTTTTAGCTGAGGAATTGAAGGAAGATTGGCACTGAGTCATGGCAGATATTCCAGAAGAGCCTTCCAGACAGAAAGAACAGCAAGAGCAAGGGTCAGAATGACAAAGTGTCAACGTGTGGACCCCTCACTTTGTCCAGAATTTGACTCTGTGTGTGTGTGTGTGTGTGTGTGTGTGTGTGTGTGTGTGTACCTCAGCTCTGTTTCCCTGGAGACCTGACAGCGGTAGAATGTGAACTGTGTTGCTAAGCAACAATACTCATGGTATAAATGACCACTAATTGGTCAGATGTATCTGGGCTGAGAGAATGGTAAAAATGCTAAGTAGGAAGCTAAATCATTGGACTGCTGTGGTTTGCGTGACCTTATATGTAGGCATGTCCCTTGATACATCACATGTATGTTTGAAGTGATATTGAATGCTCCATGAGGGTTAAGTGTGGTAGGTCCTAAGTCTAAGCTTGTTTATTTTTCTTTGTGCCTGAGAACAGAGAGGGAGCAGATGCTCAGCTCAGTTCTGGGCAGCAGAATAGGCCACTACCTGGACAGTTGTGAAGACTTTCCCCAAGGAGTCCTGACACTTTCTAAGTGATTCTGGTGACATAGGAAGTTTGTGACAATCTTCTCAGTCTGAACAAGCAAGCAGGGGTTGAAGGAGAAGCTAGGGACCATATACTAAAGCAGGTGCCAGACTGTAGCAGTCCCATCAGCCAACAGCCCAGGGCTTTTCTCTGATTTAAATGGGACATGCTTGAAGGATTCTGAGCAAAGGGTTGTCATGATCTGCTGTTTTAATAAAAACACTCCAGCTGTTGGGAATATAATATAGAGCTGTGTGTATGGTGGTGCATGCCTATAATCCCAGCACTCAGGAGTAGAGACAGGAAGATGATGAGTCCTAGGCCAGGCTAGACTATGTAGTGAGACTTTGTCTTAAAAAACCAGCTAAGACCAGCCTGGGCAAACATGAGACCCTGTTTGCAAAAAATAACAAAAATCAAGGACCAGTAATGTTGCTCAGTGGTATAGAATTTACCTAGCAATATGGAAGTTCCTGGGTTTAATCCCTAGCATTAGCTAGCTAGATAGCTAGCTAGATAGCTAGATAGATGATAGAGATAGAAAGCTAGATGATAGAAAACTAGGTGGTAGGTTGATGAGGTAGATGGATAGATAGCTACAGATTGATAGATGATATTGGTAGATACATAGATGGATAGATAGATAATAGAGATAGATTGACAGATAGAGATAGAAAGATAGATTTACTTGGAAATATAAATAGATGATAGGGATAGGTACGTAGATAGGCAGGCAGGCAGGCAGGCAGACAGACAGACAGACAGATAGACAGACAGACAGACAGACAAAGGGGAAAGGGAGGGATTTTGGAAAGCTAGTGTACTAATTAAGGAAGAGAAGAATCCAGTAGCTTAGACAGATGGAAGTGGTAATTTGGGATATATTTTGAAGGAAAAGCCACCAAGATCTGCTGCAAGATAAAATGTTAAATGTGACAACAAAAGGACATCAAAGATGACCCTTAGATTTGTAGGCCTGAAAGCTTTTTTTCTTAAATAATTTTTTTTTGGGAGTCCGGTCATGGGGCCGGAACTCTGGGCCTGGGTGCTGTCCCTCAGCTCTTCAGCTCAAGGCTAGCACTCTACCACTTGAGCCACAGCACCACTTACAGCTTTTTTCTTTTTGCTTATGTGATGCTGAGAAATTGAACCCAGGGCCTCATGCATGCAAGGCAAGCGCTCTACCACTGAGCCACCTTCCCAGCCCTTCTTAACTAATTTTTTATTGAGATTAAGTGATTACGTAA